CCCAAGCTAGACGAGTGGTTTTCAACCTGTGGAACAAGCACTTAACAGATCATGGAGTCAGTAGGGTCCCAAGGGCAGGTTGATGGAGGTGGGGCTAGCTTCAGGTGCAGGCAATAAGGGCATATATTGTCTGTAGAGAATTTCAAAACAATAACAAAACTACCAATCAGTCAGCACTTAATTACCACTCTGCATCAGCAATTCTCACCAATGTCAGTGATAAAACACTTCTCCAAAAAAAATAGCCTATGGGTCCAAGTTTTAAACAATTAATGTGGTTACTTTTGAGTTTTAATAACATTTATTTGAGCTTCAAGTTGGACATTTTTATTACTTACCCTTTAATAAACATTGTATTCTACATGGAATTTAACTTAAAGAACCACCTGTTATAAAATTGCTCCCAGATACAAGCAGACTCAGGAGCTATTCCCATTCATTTAGAGAGTAAGTTTGCAAAGGTCTGGAATCATTCCAGATTACCTCAGGCATCTTTAGTGTCTCCAGACCCAGTGGTACTTCATAGGCCTACATTTAAAAAGTACATTTGAGATAAACAATGATAGCATAGTGATAGTGTCTTAGTCAGCTCAGGCTGCCATGACAAAATACCATGGGTGGCTTGAAAAATTGAAATTTATTTTCTCACATTTCTGGAGGCTAGAAGTCGAGGTTATGGTCCAAATACAGTGAGGGCTTTCTTCCTGACTTGCAGATGGCAGCCTTTCACTGTGTCCTCGCACATCAGAAAGATAAATTCTTTGGCCTCTCCTCTTATGAGGGCCCTAATCCTACCATGAGGGCCCCACCCAGGGGTCAAATATACTAAATATACTATTGTGTGGAGTAATTCCAAGGAATCCAGAAATCAGTTTCAACACCAAACATTATCTGCGAGCTGAATAATAGAACTCGCATTATATATGTAACCACACAATATGTGTTATTTTACATATTACTATACAGATGTATATGGAACTTCCACAAAACACTGCCATATCTTTATTTGACTTCGGCTTACTCTTTTCTAGAGGTAGAGACAAGTACAAATTATTTAAAATACTTAAAAAGATTTTGCATAATATCACTCAATCTCCTTCCTTGGCCTGATTTCCTGCCATTCATTCTCTGACCATGTGGGTGCATTCATACCTTCATTAACTTTCACCTGTCTGTGACTAAGTGCTCCTATTTCTGTCTAATTTGTTCCTCCTCAACTTCTTTACAACTACTTTTTCATCAAGATCTAATTAAAATGACCTTCTTTAGGAAAGTCTCTCTTGAGATATCATGACCTACTTAGTTGTTCCCATCGTTATGCTTTAAGAGCGTTTGTTCCTATCTGCATTTCAGTATGGCTCATATAACTGTGTGAAATGGTTAAACAATAAACTCTGAACAAGAGGAAAATTTTACTTTTGCTCAGGAAAAATGAGTGCATTTCTCCACAATGGGAAAACAATCTTCATCTTGGGCCCTGAATCTGTTAGTGTCTGTAGTGGATACATTCCAGGGTAGCCTTATGATTCCTGCCTCCTTAGTGTGCTTGCCTTTCTATAATTCCCATCCCCACCCCTTGGGTTCAGGCCAAACCTGTGACTTGCTTCTAACAACAGAATATGGCAAAGGTGATATCACTAGCATGATTATGTTGCATTACATGGCAAAGGTGACTGGATTTTGCAAATGCAGTTAAGGTCTCTGGTCCCTAACTAGTTGACTTTTAGTTAATCAAAAGCAGTATTATCCTGAGTGGGCCTGACCTAATCAACTGAACTCTTTAAAAAGAGGCTGTAAAAAGGGGAAGGAGAATAGGTAAGGGTAAAAGGGGTCAAATATATGTTTACAGAAAGAGATTTGACTTTGGGTGGTAAATACACAATGCAATACAGAGATGATTATTATTAATTGTATACTTGAAACCTATATAATTTTATTAACCAATGTCACCCCAATAAATTTACTTAAAAATAAAAAGGGTCTGGAGGTCAGAGACTCAAAGCAGCTAGAGACTCTCTGGTGCTGGCTGTAAGAATCAAGCTACCATGAATTCTACAGCCTCAAGGAAATG